TCTCCTAGATTCATCAATTGTTAGTATTTTGCCACATTTCCTAACATTTGCTTTATCTCAGTCTCTCTATACTGATATACCTACATATACTTATGTGCTGGAATGTTGAGAGTAAATTAAAATATCTAACAGTATATCCTAAATATTTCCACATGAGTATCCTATGGATAAAAATGTTCTCTTACATAACCACAATATTATGATCATACCAAAAAAAAATGACATTTTCTTAAAGTCAGCTGATTAGAAAAAAAAGGAATTTAACATTGCTAGAATAATTTTTATCTAATATGTAGACCATTGAATGACTTATTCTTAAAAATCTGTCAGGAAAGAGATTTTCTCTCTAATCTATCTTGATGGTTAACACATCTCTCTTTAAGACAATGATACCTTATATTTTTGAGACACTGAAAAATCTGTTGGAAGCACTGGGCCCTATTTTCAGAAAAATATTTATAAAGACGGTAGCAGTCTGTGGCCTGTTAGGAGCCAGGCTGCACAGCAGGGGGTGTGCAGTGGGGAGCCAGCAAAGCTTCATCTGCAGTTATGGCCACTCCCCTTCGTTGGCATTACCATCTGAGCTTCTCCTCCTGTCAGACAAGTGGCAGCATTAGCGTCTCGTAGGAGCGCAAACCCTATTGTGAACTGCACATACAAAGGATCTAGGCTGCATGCTCCTTATGAGAATCTAATGCCTGATGATCTGTCACTGTCTCCCATCACCCCCAGATGTGACCATCTAGTTGCAGGAGAACAAGCTCAGGGCTCTCCCTGATTCTACATTATGGTGAGTTGTATAATTATTTTATTATCTATTACAGTGTATTAATAATAGAAATAAAGTGCACAATAAATGTAATACACTTGAATCATCCTGAAACCATCACCCCTGCCCCTGCCCACCTGCCTTCCCTGTTTCCATGTTTCCATTGTCTTCCCTGAAACTGGTTCCTGGTGCCAACAAAGTTGGGGACTGCTGCATGAAGACACATAAACTGGTCAACAATGCATACATCTTGGCTGCTTCTAGTTATGTTTTCACATTTAATCTAAATTCTCCTCCTCTGTGTACATACAATTTAAGACCACTATGCTCAAAAAACATGGAGAATGGTTTGTCTTCACCTTCCAACATTGTGTTTTGTGTTCATTAACCTTCATTTCAAATGACAGGCATGTGGGAGCTCAAAGTATCCACAATCTATTAAAGGAAAACAGATTCACAGATAAGGCTGACAGTTGTACTATGGCAGACACCCAGTAGGTGGACTAAATGATTAGAATAGAAGACCTGGAGGTATACTTCTAAACTTGAGCTTCTCTGATTCTGCAAGCCTACACTTGCTTTCTTGATAATTTGCTTTTAAAAACTAAATACCCGTAACCTGGAATTACAGGAAATACAGGTATTTCCATCAGGGTTGGCACAACATTTAAGGACCTAATACCTAAAGATGGAATTTGTTGGTAATCACAAAGATATTTAGTTTTATCAACAAATTGCCCAAATCAGTTATAGTTCTAAGACTGGGCAGGGAAGCAAGAAGGTACATGCTAGCAAATTAGGGTAACATTAAATGTCCTTAACTAAAAGGCAGGCTGAAGCTGCCAAGGTCAAGTTGTACCATAGGCTCTATTTTGTGAACTGTGAACTTGCAAAGAAAAGTTATTAGCTAACCATGCTACAACATAAGGGAGCTTAACACTGGTTAAGAAGAACACTGGTTCCTCTATACCGACTAAAGAAAATGAGAGACATTTCTAGTTCAGTTAGAGAAATAATTAAGTTGGCTGAAAGATGAACACAAATGTGTAAATACCTAATGCTATGGTCTAGCAAAATCCTAATGTCTGGTTTTGTTCCCCCATAATGCACCAAATGCCTCAAAATTACTTTCTGTAAAACTTTAATATTGTAGAATCATATCACTTACTAATTAATGATTAGCGTAATTCTTGAAAGGAAGGGTAACAAAAAGCTAGTTAAGCCTCTGGGAGGCCTGTGGGATTTATAAAAGTCTTACAGAGCTTTGAAAGGCTAAGAATTCACAGAGCATGGAACAATCAGCGCTAATTGTGAAGGATAAACTTCTTATCCATCTGCTTTCACTGTGGCTATGAAAAAGTAGGTTTTTCTTGAATTTAGCTAAGTAATTGTTAAGCTCTTTGACTCTGGCTTAAGATATCTTGTTTTTAAAAAGAGTTTATCAGCATAAAGTAGCACACGAAGCAAGGAACATTGGCCACTGGCTAGTTCTCTCTCTTGACTTAATCTTAATGACCAGACCCCATCATATTACATCAAGCAAGACACTGTTTCAGCATTTTCCTCTGATTTTTAATAATGTCACACCAGATAACTCAATAACATTAGTCATTAAAAAATCAAGCTAGATACCATGGCTCATGCTTGTAATCCCAGCAGTTTGGGAGGCTGAGGTGGGAGGATTGCTTGAACTCAGGAGTTCGAGACCAGTCTGGACAATGGCGTGAGACTTCATCTCTACGGAAAATATTTAGAAATTAACTGGGTCTGGTGGCATGTGCCTGTAGTTCTAGCTACTTGGGAGGCTGAGGCAGGTGGATCACTTGAGCCTGGAAGTTGGAGGTTGCAGTGAGCCATGATCGTGCACTGCACTCCAGCCTAGGTGGCAGAACAAGACTATCTCAAAAAAAATAATAAAATAAAAAATAAAGAAGAAGAAGAAGAGAAGCGCAAGTGAAAAAGCACAATGACGTCGTATGTTCTCATTTGGAAGTGAGAGCTAAGCTATGAGGATGCAAAGGCATAAGAATAATACAATAGACTTTGTGGAACTCGGGGGAAAGGTGGGTGGGGGTGAGGGATAAAACACTACACTTGGGTGCAGTGTACACTGCTTGGGTGATGGGTGCACCAAAATCTCAGAAATCACTGCTAAAGATCTTATTCACGTAACCAAACACCACCTGTTCCCAAAAACCTATTGAAATAAAAAAATTTTGAAAATTTTAAATAAATAAATAAAAAGAAAAAAACCACAATGAGCTACTACGTCACATCCATTAGAATGGCCGTAATCACAAAGGCAGTAACAAACTTTGGGGAAGATGTGGAGAAACAGGAACCTTCATTGATTGCTGGTGGGAACATAAAAGAATACAGTCATACTGGGCATGGTGGCTCACACCTGTAATCCCAGCAATTTGGGAGGCTGAGGCAGGTGGATTACCTAAGGTCAGGAGTTCGAGACCAGCCTGGTCAATATGGTGAAAATCCATCTCTATTAAAAACACAAAACTTACCCAGGTGTGATAACACATGCTGTAATCCCAGCTACTCTGGAGGCTGAGGCAGGAGAATTGCTTGTATCCAGGAACTGGAGGTTGCAGTGAGCCAAGATGGTGCCACTGCACTCCCGCCTGGGCCTGGGTGACAGAGCGAGGTTCCATCTCAAGAAACAAACAAACAAACAAAAACAGCTACTTTGGAAAACAGTTTCTTTAAAAGTTAAAGAAAAATTAATAGCAGGATCCAGTGATTCTACATATAGGTTTTTACCCACTAGAAATGAAAACGTATGTCTACACAGACTTGCAGGTGAATGCTCATTACAGCATTATCCATAGCAGCCAAAATTGGAAACAACCCTAATGCCTGTCACCTGGTGATTGAGTAACAAAATCTAGTATATTCGTACAATGGAATACTATTCGGCAATTAAAAAAAAGAACAAAATACTAAAACAGCTACAGCATGGATGACCCTCAAAACACCGTATTAACTTAAAGAAGTCAGACATAAAAGATCGCACAGTGTATGATTCCATTTGTATGACATATCCAGTAAAGGCGAATCTATAGAGAAAGTGGATGAGTGGTTTTCTGGTGCTGGTGTTAAGAAAGGGTATTAACTATAAATGAGCAAAAGGAATCTTACTGGGATGGTGAAAATACTCTAAAACCAGATTATGGTGATGGTTGCATAACCTGGTTAGTTTACTTAATTCATTGAACTGTATACTTAATTGCATCGATTTTATGGTTGTTAAGTTATACCTCAATAAAATTGTTAAAAAATACACTTGAGCTTCTCAAGACCTTAATAAAAATTTACAGCCTTGAAATTTCAGCAGTCTTACTTCTCTCTAATTCTAAGAGTGTAAGTTTGTATCATAGCATAATATTTCAGACACAAAAATGTTTACCTCTCCCAAAAGCTCCAGAAGAATTACTATGAATTTAACTAGTTCAGTTTGATCTTACCTGTTTGATGTTTACTTTTAAAAAGAGATATTATTCTTAATTGACACATAATAATTGTATATATTTCTGGAGAACAGTGTGATATTTTAGCACATGTATATACTGTGTAATGAGTAAGTCACATGGCATATCCATCACCTCAAATATTTATGACTTATTTGTGTTGGGAACATTAAAAATCCTTTCTTGTATCTATTTGAAAATATACAATATTCCAGAGACATTTCAAATAATAAAGAAAATACACAATAAATTTTTTTTTGAGACAGATGCTTGCTCTGTTGCCTAGGCTAGAGTACAGTGTGCAATCATGGCTCAGTGCATCCTCAACTTCCCAGGCTCATGCAATCCTCCTGCCTTAGCCTCCCTAGTACCTGGAACCACATGTGCCACCATCACACCCAGCTAATTTTTAAAAATTATAATTTGTAGAGACAAGGGTCTCCCTATGTTGCATAGGCTGGCCTCAAACTCCGGGCCTCAAGGGATCCTCTTGCCTTGACCCGCCAAATTGCTGGGATTACAGCCATGAGTCATGGTGCCTGGCCATAAATTACTGTTAACTGTATTCCCCCTACAGTGTTATAGAACACTAAAACTTATTCCTCTTATCTAGCTATAATTTTTGATCAGATGCTAAAGGGAAACAAATGATGTGTGTACAATTTGTGGTAATAGCCTAATTGGAAGTGTAAGAAATTTTATTCTAACAGTACATTTAATCATGAACTTTCCTCTTCATGTGCATGCAGGACTATTCCCTGATATAACCAGGCCCTTTAAAAAATCATTTGATGTCAAGCATGGAGTGGTAAGTCCAACATTTCTCAGTGATTACTTAACTGTAGAGAGCTTAAATGATGTATACTGCATATTATTTATTTAAAAAGGGGGTTAAAATTTTAAAAAACAATACTCACCATTTATTCCTGATTGCTTATTTTGTGTGTAGCTTTCTATTAGGTGATAGGCATACAACAATAACCAAGGTTACAAATTGTGACAGACTGATGATACTGTGTTTTTATCATCATCACCAACTTTTCCTCTTTCCCATGCAGAGGAAAAATGATATGTAATATACTGGCAGTTAAAAATAACTTTAATTGTAGACATTCAAATAATACAGAGTAATAAAGTAAAGATTATCTGAAATCCTTTCCCTTCCCCCAGGGACAATCACCATTTTCATTTCAGTGAACATCTTTATAAATATCTCTCTATACTCATGTATACCTAAGGATACATGCACACACACAGTATATTGATGAGATCATACTGAACACTGTCCTCTGTAACCTGCTTTTATCACTCAATATTTTCATGGATTTCCTTCAGTGTTAATTAACATAATTATTTGTTATCATTTTTAATGGATACATAATATTTCATTGACTGACTCCATTACAATTTTAAAATATGCCATGGGCCGGGCACAGTGGCTCATGCCTGTAATCCCAGCACTTTGGGAGGCTGAGGCGGGTGGATCACCTGAGGTCAGGAGTTCAAGACCAGCCTGACCAACATAGTGAAACCCCATCTCTACTAAAAATAAAAAATACAAAATTAACTGGGAAAGGTGATGCATGCCTGTAATCCCAGGTACTTGAAAGGCTGAGGCAGGAGAGTTGCTTGAATTCAGCAGTTGGAGGTTGCAGTGAGCTGAGATCATGCCACTGCACTCCAGCCTGGGTAACAAGAGCAAAGCTCCATCTCAAAGAAAAAAAAATACATATATATATATATATATATATACACATATGTGTGTGTGTATATATATATATATATATATATATATATGCATGCCATATCAGGAGGCATTTAAGATTTTCTAATTTATAACTATTGTAACCAATGCTGTGATCAACAAAATTTGAATACATGTTTTGCAGCTGTGAAACCATCTTTTCAGAATATGTTCCCATAGAAGAATTCTTGGGTCAAAAGTACACTTATTTTACATATGGCAAAATTGCCTTCCCAAAAATTGCCCTCATGACCCAGTAATGTGTGAAAGTGCCTATTTTCCTATATCCTTTCTAACACTTGCTTTAAAATATAATCTTGATGTTTTCCAACTTGATAGATGAAAATAGTTCAATTTTCTTTTAATTTCATTTATTTGATTATTAGTGAGATCAAGCATCTTCTATGTTTATTCATCATTCATAGTTCTTTCATGAATTGTAATTGATTCTCACTAAGTGTAGTTATATTTTGTAAAATCACCATGAATACTGAATTAAGTAATACTGAACCATTGTTCCTAAAGGAAATATAAGGTTAGGTTCCTGGGAGCCTCCAGTCATGACATTTTTGCCAACTGATCAATATATAATTTCGTTTTTATATATGTTTCTGTTTAAAGACATTTAATTCATGTTGTTAATTTATTAACATTGAACTCATGGCTAACAGCACTATAACTAATGCCAGAATGGAGCTTAATTAGTTGACAAATTTTAACAAGTAGGTAAACTTGCAGATACAAATTCATGAATAATTATATTTGAATGCTAATGATAGTATATTTCCTTTGTCCATTTTCCTACTAGGGTGTTTAGCTTTTTCTTATTGATTTGTATAAGGTATTTTCATGTTAGGATTATACTCTTTTGTCTAAATTTTACTGTTATTACAGTCGTGGCTTTTTTTTTTTTTTTTTTTTTGAAACACAGTCTTGCTATGATGCCTTGGCTGGCCTTGAACTCCTGGGCTTAAGAATCCCCTGCCTCAGCCTCCTGAATGGCTGAAACTACACTGTACTCATGGTGGTGGCTTTTGACAACAGTATCAGTGCTTTCTGAATGCAGGGGTGGGGAGGAACAATGTTGGGAAAATGAATTTTATTAGATTTCAATTATTATGAAAGTGGTTGGTATTTATATCTACCTCTCCTTTTCTAGGCACATCAAATTTGGGGTTTTGGTGATTTTTTTCCGACACCACCAAATTATGGAAAATCCTGTAAGTCTCATCCTAAACTACCATTTTATATCCATTTTCTGCCTTTATTTTAATCATGGTCTTCATGTGATATTTTCACACTTTTTGCATTTCTGCTTCCTTCCTCCTGGCACCCACATTGTTGCGTCATTTCATGTCTCCTAACAATACAAAAGGTAGGATGCAGAAATAACAGGAGGGAGAAATGCAAGAGGCATTTGCCCCTCATGCTGGTGGTAGAGATAGGGGCTGTGTATGTGAAGGTTTGGATCTAGTGATTTAAAACGAGGTTTGGGAATGTCAGGAAATTTAACTTACGGTAGACTCTGTTTATCACAAACATTCACACATTGGCTGTCTCTTCACCCTAGGTGTGAGAACTAAAAAGCTAGCACAAGAGACCCTGATGAACTACGGTCGACGAGGGATATGTGTCCTAAAGCATGTAAGAATCTTTTTACTTGCTGTGCAACAGATCTCTGGGGGAGAGCCAGGAAGTGGGGTTCCGCGTGTCTCCACATGGCAGCAGGGAGGTGGCCTGTGTATGTTTAGAGCTGGTATAAAAGTATTCCCTAAGTTACAATCAGGCTAAAAGTGGAGCAGTTCTGATAAGAAAGTCTTCCTTAAAGCATCATGAACAGTTTCTTGGGTAGATCTCTCCATAGCTTTTTTGGAACAAGCCCCTAAGAGGCTTACAGCAGTTGGGATTTCTATTATACTTCTGAATTTTCATCAGCCAGTTGCTGGGTTCTGCCTGTTGTGAAAGAGGGAGTGAGTTCTCAGATCGCCCTGCCCTGCTGAGTATCCATCCTGTGTGTCTGGTGGCTGGAGAGTCCCTCTCCATGTGCCTGTCCTGCCACCCAGCATTTATGGTCCCTGCTTCCCCGATATGGCCCTCCAGACCAGGGAGTCTCTCCTTCCTGATTAGACTTTGTCAAAACCCAGGGTTTATAAACAGATTGTTAAAATGGGGTTCTTTTTATGTCTTAAAGTTCTGGCAGAGACTTTCAGAAAATAAGTTGAAGAGGCTGGGCGCCGCAGCTCATGCCTGTAATCCCAGCACTTTGGGAGGCCCAGGCAGGCAGATCACCTGAAGTCAGGAGTTCGAGACCAGCCTGGCCAACATGGCAAAACCCTGTTTCTACTAAAAAGACAAAAATTAGCCAGCGTGGTGTTGGGTACCTATAATCCCAGTTACTCAGGAGGCTGAGGCAGGAAAATTGCTTGAACCCTGGAGGCGGAGATTGCAGTGAGCCAAGATCATGCCATTGCACTCTAGCCTGGGTAACAAAAGCAAAACTCTGTCTCAAAAAAAAAAAAAAAAAAAAAAGAGAGAGAGAGAATAAGTTGAAAGAATAAAAACTTGTTTGTACATAGAAGGTACAACTATTTTTGCTCTATTACTTTATTAAGATTTCTCTTTAACTTAAAAAAACTCAGACTCATCCTAAGTAATTATGTTTATTATACCATGGGTTTGATATGCTCACTATGCGTGTTAGAAAAAAACCCCTGACCATTAAAATAAAAAATGTTATACAAGTACTACCTAACAGTATCACAAAAACCACCAATTATACATACATTTCACTTTGGAAGTGATGGTCTTTGGGCCTTAACTAGCAAATCTGATACATTTCACTAATGGGAGAGGGTTGGATGACCCATGCTGATTCCTAGGCAACTAGTCTATTTTAATGGTGGTCTCTCAGAAATTGTGCAGTTTTTCTTGACTTTTCTACTTAGGACTTGATAACTTTCCCAGGGAGCGTTTCAAGCATGGGAAACCAGTGATGTGGCAGACCAAGGAGGGGGTTGTTTGGGGGCATTTGTAGCTGTCTGGTCCCCTGAAAGTTATATTGTGTGATCAAACAGGGACATCCCTTCACTGTAGGGTTGATGCCTGCTTCTAGGAAGGGTAGATGATTTCCTGAAAGTACATTTACTGAAAGCTGGCCTCTTGGGAGTGGCTTTGGAGAATCATTAACTATTGTTACATAAATAAATCCGTCTTGCCTACATGGAGTTTTACCGGTGCCACGCAATTCCATTGCCAATCAGTGTCTGCAGCTGTTCTGGGGAACAGTTGCTTCTCTCTGCAAGGTACTTCCCCAGGCCCCGCCCCCAGAAAGGGAATTCTCTCTACTCACAGTAGCAGCTTTATAAGTCAACCATTTCCAACAAATAAATGACATTACATCCTGCTCTTGCTTTTGTGGTGCCATAACAGGCTAAAATTACATGCACGTGCAGCGCACACACACACACATACACACACCCCACACATACAATTAATATGAGGCACATATTTGGAAAACCTTGGACCTAGAGTTCTGATCAAAAAATAAATCATGACTTTTTATTTATGAGACAAGGCAAATCTTAATATTTTTAAATAGGTGATATATTTTGGAAAACAAGCTCTGAGATATATAAATGCCCAATTTCCTTCATCAAAGCAACAAGTAGAGATTGAATGAAATTTTCAATCATCGTTAACACTATTCTTAGTTTAGAAAGTATTTGCTTGCTGTGTAGTGCCTTTGGTAACCATTCCCTAAATGTTTATATTCCTGTGTCCTATCTTGAAGAAGTTCCTGATGGAAACTGGAAAGCAGAGCATTCACCTCCAGGATTGTGGGGACTAAAGGAATGGTAGGGAAACCTGGAAAGAATCTTACCAGCGAAGCAGTGGGAGCCGGTTAGGGATTGCAAGAGTTCCTGCCCTTTTTCTCTCCTGCTTTAGTCATCTGGCCTTCCTGACAGAGACACAATATATTAAACAGGAAGGTTAAGAGAGATGGAATAAAATGCAGGATCAATCCCTTCTCCTGCTCATGAATGATGTCTGGTTTGGAAGAGACCATTTAATTCTCCATTCGGTGGAAAAGTGACCTTTGCAGATGAGTGAGTGCTGACAACCAGGCCATTTTTCTCCAGCTTCATAGACGGTGGGATTCTGAAAGCAAGGTTGGCTCATCTGAGGATTCAGAAACTGATCCATACTCCGATTATGCCTGGGGAGGACCCTCATCACCATTTAACTGAGTTGGAAAACGAAGCCACAGTGCTGGAGGCCTGGAGTTTGTTTAATAAACAACTTTGAGGTATGAGTCCCCCTAAATCCTCCCCCCCCCACACTTCGCCCCCAGGAGCATCTGGATCCTGGCAGGTTGGCTTTCTGGGACATTTCAATGGGCTTCATTTCTCATTTCTTTTCCTTTTTAATTGGTGGAGAGACAAAAGTTGTTATAATCTTTATTAAATCTTCCTTTTTAAATAAATACGTGGGACCACATTTGCTGCAAGAACCACAGAAATGGTGCTGCGGCCCCGACCGTCGCGGGCTCCGGCGTCACAGAGCCGGTCCCTTGTATCTGGGAGACCCGGGGAAGGGCGCAGGGGCGTGAGAAAGGCTCTTTGTATTCAGAGCGGTCACCCAGCAGAGCCGGAGCCTTCCACCGCCAGGTTTTCCTCCGCGCAAAGCGCCGCCGGGAAGCGAATTGGCTCAGACCGTCGGGCGGGGGCGGCCTGAGCCGCGGCAGGCGCGCGAGCTCAGTGGCGGGGATCGCGGCCCACCCGCCCCAGCTCCCTCGGTGGCTGCCCGCGCCCCCGAAGCCCCGCCCACGGCCCGCCCCTCCCCCGGGTCCGCCCCTTCCCGCTCCTCCTGCGGCGCCCGCCCCGCCCGAGCGGCCGCCTCCTCCTCCCTCTACGGCCGCCTCCTCTCCCCTACGGTCCTCTGGCTCCCTCCACGGTCCTCCTTCCCCCTCAGCGTCCACGGGCCGCCTCCGCCGCCTACGAACCTCCTCCTCCCTTGGCGACCCTCCTTCTGCTGAGTCTCCCCACACCGCCCGCCTCGCCGCCCCCAGCGGAGCGCACCGGAGGGAGGGACCGGGGGCTGCCGGGCTGCGCGGTGACCCGGGCGCGGGAAGGAGCCCGCGGCAGTCCAGGCTCGCGAAAGGCCTCGGCAGCCGCCGACTTCCGAGGAAAGGCAGGACGGTGTTTGGTTTGCTAAAGTAGCCGCCTCCTACCCCCTCTTCCTCCCCAGTCCCCGCTTTCTGCTCCCCACGCCCCCTTCCATTTACTTCTAGTTACCAAGACAGTCCTTCTCTTAGGATTTCTATTGAATAGAAAATACAATTAAAAGTTGCAGCACCACCCCTGCATCCCGCCCCCTAAACTCCTAGTGATTATTTCTGTCCCCTAGCCCTAGGTTGGGTTAAATACATTCCCCGGGAGCCATCTGGTTTGATTCCCAGCAACCTTCATGTGGTTTCCATTAAGCTCACCAAAAGCATGCATTGAAAAGGCAGCCCTGTAGCCACTCAGGAACCTCCGGAGTTTTGCTCTGACCAGCCCCGGTAGACGTCTCAGGCAGAGGGAGGGAAAGGCCTCTGTTAAGGTTCCGAGTCTAGTACCTCATGATCCTGGTTTTAATCTAATTTCTTGGCTTTTTCTAGTCCAAGAAAATACAGTTCTCCAAGGTAATGGTTATCATTCATTTATTATTTGTTTTTTTACAATATGCAAGGGCTAGCTGATTAGAATTCTGTTTTAATTTTAAAAATGAAGGCTAACAGCTTTACAGATCGGTTGCAAAAGTAACCTGGCCACAGAGGTTAAATTTGACCATTAGCATTGGTATGGTGGGGTTTACACCTCCTCTCCTGTCTGTACCCCATTACTTAACCCCCAAAACGCAAAGAACAAATGTTAGCTTGTGGAAACATTCGCTCACACGTGGGTTGGGGCCTGCGGTCCAAGAAAAAGGGAACCGGCAGTTTATAGACTCAGTGTTATAACTAGAACGTTCCTTAGGATCCATCCAATATGTATGGCAATTAATTGAGAACATGCAGAAAGTGGAGAGGCTGCAGGAAGGTCACCTACAGTACTACAGCCTAATATGTGGATGGGAGGGTGGGGAAGAAACCTAGGCAACAAGTGCTTTATCATATACAGCAAGGAAGATTGTGTCAAACCCATTCATTAGCGGCACATCCTGGCTCTCCCCAGCCCATCAGCTGCAGTCCCATCCCTGTCCTGCTCTGTGCCTCCCTGTTTGGGGAGTTACAGCTCTCTGCTTTTCTTCCTATTTCCCCACTCCCGCCCTGACCGTGTGATTTTTATTTGGGTTTTTAAAATGAAACCAGGTGCTGCATAAAACAAAAGCAAAGTAATAACAAGGAAAGACTATCCAACGCCTGAGGAATGTGCTGAGTTTTATGACTCAGGCTGTCCTGGCAAAGAGCTTGGACTCACAGCAAGAGGTGGGTGGCAGGGAGCACAGACCGTACATGGCAGCCCTGGCCTCCCCAGATAGGCATGGTCAAGGCAGCCTGTGACTCATTTCACAAAACCAGAGACTCTTGTTCTTTGTGGAACAAGACTTCCCTGAGGCTAGAGCAGGATGATCATCAGCTTTTCTCCTAGAGCCAGTTCAGTCTGATAAAGCAGGGGCCACTCCGGAGTTTGGAGGGGAAGAAAGCCCAGGCACAAGGCCATCCCTGGGAAAGAAACAGGCTTGGTGGACTTGGGCAAGGCCTTTGGTGCAGTCAGGAGTTGAATAACAGAGAAGCTGCAGCGTGACATGAAAATTAGCATGTATTGTAGTGGAGACAATGGCTTGAGAGCTCCAAGTGGTGGAGCTGCCACAGTGCCTTGGAGAAGGGGACTGTTGGTGTGCTCCTAAGCCCAGAGGAGGTGTTTGCTCCTCCTGAGTGCATGGGGCACAGGAAAAGCTTGTCAGATGCCAGTAGGGTTTCCGAGGTGCCATTCCTCTTGCAATCAGGAAGAGTAACTAAGGGCAAAATTAGTAGACTTTGCATAGACACCCAGAGAGCCACCCAGGCACACATCCTCACATTCTGAGAATTCTTTTCAAATGAGCATAGTAATGGGGTGAGGTGTGTGTTTTTTCTGTTACTAAGAGACAGCCTGAGAGAGTGAGAATGCAAAGGAGAGTGTCTCTCCTAGCAGAGGTGGTGGGAGGGGCTGGAATTTGGGTGACACGGATCTGTTTGTGCCCCCTTTATTACACAGGCCTAGGTGGAACGGGACTGATAGAGCTCCTTCTGATTTCTGTCATCCCAGAGAAAGCTGTCATGTTTTGAATGAGAATGAACTTTGAATGGCATAAATGAGATCTCCGTGCAGCAGCCCCATTCTCTTTTTCTTTTCCTTTCCATGGAATACCCATTTAAAAGCTATGGTGACTATTCCATAATTGCAGGCAAAGCTCTGCTTAACTTTTCCCTCAAAGTGTACTTACCTGGAAAAATAAAGCCTTTTGAGAACGATGACTTCATAAATATTTATAGTGGGAACAGGCGTCACTCTGGTTCTGCGAGAGAATGGGCTCATTCAGTTTTATTTATGATGTGACACTTGGGTGAGTGACATCCGTCATCTGGGTCGGCCCTACACTCTGTTCCACTGAAGCATGTTTATGGAGTGATTATGCCTGCAAATATTTGCTATATTTAGGTCCTCTCCTCCCCTAACTCCCTCTTAGCCTTCTTAAGTCCCCAAACCAGCGAAAAAGTCAAGCTATGGTCTAGGAAGGTTTGAACCCTAATGACAAGGCACGAGGGTTTGAACATGTGCTGTAGAAGGACTTGACGAATTGGGAGGCAATTAGAGTGGGAACGCTGGTATTATGGCATTCAGGAGGTTTTGCTTGTCCTTGTCTAGCAGGTGAGGGCTCTCAGCTGGGCATGAGGGGTTTTGACAGGAGATGAGCACAGCCCTGAGTGATGAATGCAGAGGGATGCTTATGAAACTCTTCCCTTCCCAGGGAGCTTTCTCTGGACAGGATCTCACAGGCCCTGAAATTGTCACCATGTACCCCAGGGCTCTGGGGGCAGGACCTGGTAGGGACTCTGTGACCTCAGCTGGGTCAAGGTCTGTGGTGTAACCTGAGGCCTCCTCTCAGCCACACCTGGTCCGGGGCTGGGCACAGCAGCTGCTCTCCATCAACTATGGAGGAGGGAGGACGTTCTCCGGCTTCCTGGCTTTCAATTGCACATGCCCTGACCTAGGCATTTCAGGCTGGACCTAGACATTCCTCAGTACTCAATATTTGCCTGCAATCGGCTTGGCAATCTATTGTTTATCCTGGGAAGGGCCAGGTCTTGGCACAGTGGCCTGAAGCGTTGCCAGTGTGTTATTTTTAGAGACAGGAAAATGTCTGCCTTTTGGCAGCTGCTCTTTTTCTGGCACACATCAGTGATGGTGTAAAAAAGTTCAAGTGAGAGATTCCAAGCCCTAAACTCATGGCCTATGACACAGACAATGGCACCATAAGCCTCTCAACAGGCACCTTTAGGGAACCTAAGATGTGTCATTAGAAGGCCTCCTGGGTAGAGTAGTAGCCTCCCTGCCACACCCTGGAGGCAAGAGTCCTGTCTAGTCCAGAAACCTCAGAGCCTGAACATTTTGTGAGTCCCTTTTGAATGTATCAGCCGATCTGAACTATTATAGCTCTTACCTCCATTCATCTCTTTATCTACCAGTCCATAATCTAGTTCAACTTGGTAGAAAGATTAAAAAAAAAAATCTGTTAAATTTCACGTTCATCAACCCTTCTTAGACCCAGTGACGTCATCATAACGATTGCAGAAGCCAGCCAGTGTCCATGGCAAGAAATATCTTACTAGACTCAGGGATCACATTTCCAAGTTTTATTGCAATTAATATTTGTCCTAACATAGTGCCCTCTTAAAACATATTTTTGTAGGTCCTGTGATTCTGGCTACTGACAATTTGTTAGAAAGCATTTTGTAAACTGTAGTGACATATTATGCAAAGGTAAAATGGAATGGAAACAAAGATAAAGAATTATCATTACCTTCTTTTCTTCCCAGCTTTTGAAAAAAGATTTCTTTCTAATTGCACAAATAAAACATGAATACATTCTTCTTTACTGCTTATAGCCCATGATCACCTTTTGGATTCATTTTTCTTCCTGCTGGAGCACATCCATGGTAGATTTTCTTTTGTTTTTCCTCACTTGTCCATCAGAGTGGGTAATACGTTTGTCTAAGGGCTTATATGTGTGAGAAATTATTTTGCTCTCTCTGCTTGAGTGTTAGCTTGGCTTGTTATA